TCCAGATTGCGGCGGCGGCGGAGAGAGAGTGAAAATATATTCTCTCTGACCGTTTCCCTAGCTTGACACGACACACACGGACCAACCGTACGTCCCTGCTTTTTTCCTCTGCTAGCTCCTCCGATAGACCGGAACATTTTAATGCGAGAGCAACAATAAAAACAACGCCTATTACCGACCGAGAGTGAGAGATGGACTTCACTTTCCAATTCAAATATATGTGCAACTTTCGCAAATTTACACAGAAAAATAATTTTTGTCGGCAAATAAAATAAAATAACCTAAAATTCATGATTTTTTATATAAAATAAACCTAATTTTATGTGAAATTTTTTTTATTAAATTTTTCAGTCTTTGGCTCTTTTCCATAAACTTTTTCTAATTAAATGCAAATTTCAACTCTATAAAGTTTTCAAATTTTGCACAAGATAATTTTATAACGGCGGGGAGATTGAGAGCAAAAAATAGAATATTAACTCTGTGTGCTCGAGATCGGAAAGAGATTTACGACGTCATTGTGGCGCGAGCGATTTGATTTATCGGCGGCATCATTAGCCGCTCATAAGCCGATGCAAATGAGGCCGTTGCCTTTTCTTCTTTTCTTTCTCCCGCTCTTTTGCTCTGCGCTGACCAAACACCCTCTCTCGATTCGCGCTCTTTGAGAGAGATGCTGTGCGAGCGAGAGATTTATTCGTGTCGAGGACGTTCGACTTCTTTTAATTAGATGAATTAATCAAAGTTGAACGACTTTTGTCCACGAGAAAACAAATAGTGGTAGCGCCGCTGGTCAGCACTTGAAACAATTCCAACAGCATCGCCAAGGCTGTGCCTCTTAATTGATTTCAAGCAACGCCGCGCGACGCAAGCGGGAAAGAAATGCGATCCCTGAGAGACGATACAAGAATTATGCGCTGACAGTTTTGCGTTAGATATAGAATAAGATTTATAGCGATAAGTGGCGATAAGGACAGAAAAATTCTAGTTGTCTAGAGAAAAAAAAGTAATTAAAGATTATTTGAAACTAAAAAAAAAAAACAGAAAATTTCATAAATGTAAAAGTAAAAAAAAATATTAGTCAATTAAAATAAAAAATTACAAAATTTCATTTTCAACAAGAGATAAATTTGAAATTCTGGAATCATAAGGGAGGAAGTACTAAATTGTTTTTGAAAAAGAATTTTATAATCCAAAATTATATCAATTTTAAAGTTGAAATTTTTGAAATGTTAATTGGCCTTAATTTACTTTATTTTCTCACTACGTTTTAAAACAATATTCTTTTCAAATATTTTAAACTTGAACATAAAAAACCAAAAACCAAAATTTAATTTTTTTTTAAGAGGCAAAAATAAGAAACAAAATTACCTGGGGCAAAATGCAAACGAATATTTGTTTCTTTTCCAGTCATAATATAAATCTATAATTTATACTTCTCACTACTTTTTTGTAACTGAATATCAGTTAAAAATTTTCTGGATAATCGACTACCTTCTTAAATAACAATTTGGAGTTGTCTTGTAACAGGTTCAGAAAGTAGAAACCAGACTCAACGATGATAAATCGCAGATATTATTTTTTGCACGTTGCAGAGCATCTTTTTGCGCTTGTCGTCTATAATTTATTAGGGTTATCTAACCATAACTGTGTCCCAGACGTGTTTTTTTTTTTTTTTTTGGTCCAAACGGTAATCAGCAACTTGTTACGCACACATGCAAAAGAGCCGATGTGCCAACGTATTCAGGTTTTGAAGTGCTTCGAGGAAGTGCCCGTGTTTGCGGAATAATCGAAAGTGCCTGGGCGGGGAGGGGCCGTTCGCGGCCGGAGGTGGTCATCTGCTGTATAGGGACAGATCTCGGGCGGCGGCGGCGTTTCATTTCACTTTCTCTCGATTTATTTCGCTCGCCGGTCACAAAAAGTGACCCAGATCGGAAGAATACATAAATGTATATATTCGGACCGCGTTCGTAATTAGCCTTGACTTGGATATTTGAATTGGCGGCGAATCGCGCAGCGGGACCGAAATCGGTTTTTCCTAAAAGCGCCGTGTCATTTCTGCGGCCACGCAAAGAAAAGGACCCGCGAGTCAAAGGGAGAAGAGCGAAAAATCCGCGCCCAGCGGGAGGCGCACGCTCGGCGCTTTTTTATTTCTTTCTTCGCGGGTCTCTATTGATGCATTTACTGTTAAGCAAGAAACTACTACTGCAGCTGATCGACCAGTGGAATGAATAAAAAATATATATAACACACGATTAAGGTTTCTTTTCCCAGCAGCAGGTGCAGAAATCGATTCGTTTCCAATTCGGCGCTGCGCAATTAAAGCGTCGGTTCATCGGCGCGGCGTGCTGCTGCGTTTTCTCACCAATTTCATAGCAAACACTTCAAAGACTGCGAGATCACCTTAATCATTTCTCGTGGAATCAATTTAATGTGGGGTCGTTTGATTTTTGAAAGAAAATAGAAAAATATATAGAAATGATTATCTGTAATCGAAAAATACAATCTGGAGCATTAAAATGCGTGAAGATCTTTTAACTAGTTTGGTTTTTCAGTAATTTGTTTCGCAAACTTTTCAATAATTACATTCACAAACTTCTTATCTGTTCCATTATTTTTATTTCCCAATCATACAAAATTTCAACATCATAAAAAAATTCTCAGATCATTCCGTTTATAATTGAATTTACAAGTGTCTTTAAGAACACAAAGATTACAATAAAACTTTGTTTATATCTTGTTCTCAACAAATAAAATAATTCTTATTTAACTAACTTAAATGAAATAAACGAAAATTTAATTAATGCTGAGAATTTAAATTATGAATGTGTTGTTTTGTTATTTATTTTCTTGAGCGTTAAAGTAAGGAAAATTCTTAAAATTTTGACGAGTCTCCTCTAACTGCTGTTGAATGCAGTTCAATGCGCGACTTAACGAGTTAATTTGACGTTGAAAGCGAGTTTTTTCTTAATGGAATGAATCGGACGGTTAATTTGCCCGCGTGAAAAGACGCGGCCAGGCGGCAAAGCCTTCTTACTTTTGAGCCTTTTTTAGTGCAGCAATGCGCTCTTGATTTTGCTCGGACGCGATTGTTTTTGGCGTGTATTGAGAAGCGACAATGGCGATTATAATTCGCAGCCAAGGATCCGGTGGCCCATTTTCCTCTCCATTACGTGCATATCAAGCAAAAGAGACAAAGCGCAGAAATCACGACCGCGACAATTCGATTGGCGGTAAACACTTTCGACAGAGTGACATAACCTGGCGTGGTTCTATTTTTTGCCCAAGCGTTGACGAAAGTTATGGATTTGCCGCTTTGCTGCGTCCACCGCGCTGAAGACACTTTCAGCCGCATACAGATTACATTTATTTTCCATCCCGCGAGCATGGCATGTGTTGTGCCTCTCGATTTCTAATTTTTCTCGCCGATTTGTTGTGAGATGCGCTCCGTCGAGCGTCGCGCGATTTAATTCTCTTATTTTCTCGCAACAACACAACACGCTGCTCAATATCTCTCTCTAATCGGCAGAGAGCAGAAATTCATCTCCGCATTCCTGGTCTGTACCATCGACGCCCTATCGTTCGTCAAATTCGAATTCCAGCTGCGAGACGAGCACCGGTTTTGATTCCATCGAACAATTCCATTTGTCCCACTGAGGAGACTTGAATGCGCGGATCGCAACTTCACACGTGTCCTATTTTGTTCGGACCTAAATTTTTATTTAAATCAGATCCAACTATTTAAGTTTTTTGTTGTATAAATTGAACTCAACTTTTTTAAATCAAAATTTCATTTATATTTTTTCACGTATGTTAATTATTGAAATCTTTGTACCTTTTTTTTAATATTTCTCCTAAAGAAAAACATTTAATGCAAAAGAATTTTCTTACAGTCGTCAAACACGGTTGAACTTATAAGGACCTTTGCTGATATAATTTAAAATCTCTGAACGTTTCCAAACCCTTTTTCTCTAATTAAAGATTTTCCTTCTAATTTATTCGTTCTGCGATTTTTCCATCTCAGTGTTGATCGAGAATTGCGGAGCAGGAAGCGCCTGTTAGTCGCACTGGCCTCGCTCGCTCTCATCTCGAATGTGGGGCAGAAGACTTTGTGTCAGAATAAGGAGCGAAAGGTGTGGCCCGAATCGGAGCAACTCATGCATCTTCGTCTCTCGCTTTGCAGCCGCGCGCTTTCCCGTTTAATTTTTATTGTTTTACGGCCGAGTGTCAAAGTTGAGAGCGACTTTTCGCGATTTTACGACCCTTCGTGGGAATCTGCCAAATTAACACAGCGAGTCAATCACGTCTCGAAGGCGAAACTCGTTTTTCTTTTTCAGTTCATATATACAAAAAGTGTATAATTGGCGCCAGATGACGCTTCTTTGATCCGAGAGAGTGCCTCGTTTTGGTCGTAAAGAACGGAGAGAATTTGTGATGGAAAAACCAGTTTTCGCGCTCAATTCGGGAGCGACGAGACCCCGCGCTGACCCCCTAGAGGCGGGCCGCGTATTTGTTTTGACGCCGCTGCTTTTTAATGTTGCCTTTCAGCGCCCACCTCGCTACATCAAGTGCGTGGGCGAATTAATTGCCCTTTCTCTCCTAATTGACAGCCGCGCGCGCGAAAGGGCGTTTTTGGTGGGCTGCGTTTGTGCACTCGATTTTTGACCCAGAGTGAAATTTTTAAAGTGCCCAATGCACATAAATAGGTGATGACTTACTCAATCACTTTCGCTTTGTTGTATCAATTCCTCCAATGGGCATAACGATCACAAATGCAACTTGTAACTCCAATCTTAAAAAGTGGTGGAGAAAATTAATGAGGACGCAACAAAGCTTCCTATATCCCAAAGGAAATTACTTGAAAAACAATTACACAGAAAATACATTCATCTTTTTTACGATCTGCTTAAATATTGGATCCAAAAATCCTAATTTTCAAGCAAATTCCAAAAATTTTAATTTCGGACCACATAATTAATTTGTGCAATTTTCCATTTGTGTTTCAGCAGAGGTCGGCCTGGACTCCAGATGAGCGTGGTCGGGGCGCCGCTGCCGTGGTACTGCTTTTACCCGCGGGCACCCTTGCACCCGTCCAGCCCCCCTCCGGCGCCGGGGCGCCGCCATGTTGTGGTGAGCATGCGCGAGAAAGATTCGAGCCCACGCAAGATGATCGGCCGCTACAGCGCCCGCGCCGACGGCGGTTCGCCCAAACAGGCCGCCGTCTACCCCGCCGAGTCGGCGCGCCACGTCGCGGCGCCGCCAGACGACGCCGACGAGCCGTTCGACTTGTCGAGACACTCGACGCCGCCCGCGGCGCCGCCGCCGCAGCAGGCCGGCGGCGACCACTCGCGCGAGGAGCAGCCGCTCGACCTGCGCATGGAACACAAGAAGACGCGGCGCGACGAGAACCGCAACGTCGTCCTGCGCACCCCCTCCCCTCCGGCGCCGCAGCCACCTCCCCTTGCCGCCCTCTACCCCATCGTGCTCGAAGCCATGCAGCCGCACCGCTTCCGGCCCTACTCGGCCCCCTTCCTGCCGCCCCCTCCACCCGCCAACACCAAGGTGCTCGACAACAACAACAGTCCCTCGGCCGCCAACCACAACGTCCCGCCGACCACGCCCAACGGCACCAAACCCAGGGACAGATACGCTTGCAAGTTCTGCGGAAAGGTCAGTTTCTTTTCCATCTTTTTTAGATTTCTTTTACAAAATTTTAAACGAAAATAGCATAAGAAAGCAAAAAACTTGGTTAGTTTCGCTCTTTTGGAATGGAGCTTTATTTATTAAATTCCCGTGCACTTCAGCAATCCCAATTATTACCATTTCCAATCATCTAATAAAAGTTTCGTTTCGACTATTGATTGCAGGTTTTCCCGCGATCGGCGAACCTAACGCGTCACCTGCGCACACACACGGGCGAGCAGCCATACAAATGCAAGTATTGCGAGCGTTCGTTCAGCATCTCGTCCAACCTGCAGCGCCACGTGCGCAACATCCACAACAAGGAGAAGCCGTTCAAGTGTCCGTTGTGCGAGCGCTGCTTCGGCCAGCAGACCAACCTGGACCGGCACCTGAAGAAGCACGACGCCGACGGCCCGACCATCCTCGACCCACGGGGTCCCACCGGAATGCTCGGAGGGGCCCCCCGCGCCCCTCACGAAACCTATTTCGACGAGATCCGCTCGTTCATGGGCAAGGTGGGCGCCGCCGCGCGTCGGCGCCGCTTTTCGGACGCGTCCAGCCCCGCGTCGTCGCCCGCCTCGGCGTCGCCGCCCTTGCACGATTGACGTACGTGTGTACCTGATGAGCGCCCCCCTCCACCACCCCCCCACCTCGAGTTACCAGCATATTTTCATCCGTTCATCGTTACTTAGTAGGCTTAAGCGTTCATTATTTTTTTTGTCGTGGTCACCATTCATTCATACATACTTAACCCTTTCATCGTTTTCATCGATTAATTTAATTTAATGTCATCCTCATTAACCATCGTCACCCCGCGCTGCATCACCTAACTTATTTTTAAAAAAAAAACGTCCGTCCATTTCTCCTCACACGAGCACAGCCTCTCCCCTCCATCGAATGAAACTGCCAAACAGAAAAATCCCTCATTCCAGCGAGCTGTGATCACGCGAGCAATTTTCTGCCGCTCACTTGAGAGAGACATTGCGTTGTTTTCAATCAACAAATTTATTTTCAAATTGAAGAACATGCAAATGTCTCTTGTAATTTTAGCGGTCGATATTTTCATGAAATTCTAGAAGAAAAAAGTTCAAATCCTTTCCGACATTCTCAAATTTTGCTTTTACTCCAATTTTTGTTCCTAGCAACGAGTGCAATGATTTTTTTTTTTTTAAATAATTTTGTTATTAGTGAAAACCTTGGTTCGGTTTCGTTGAAGGAACTGACGCCTCTTGTGTAAATTTCCTCGCAAATAATTTGTACTTAGTAAAATTTAGCAAACGAGAATTTTAACTTGATAATTTTTGATCTGCTAGTCACTTTGGATCGTGCTGTAAAATTTATTCCTTGCTCTCTTATTTTGTGAAGAAAAAATTATCCCTTAAGTGGTGTGTGTAAATATACGTTTTTGTTCAAAGCTTCAACTTAGCTTTTCTTCTCCCCGTTTCTTTTCTGTCCTCAAGTTTAAGAATTTGCGAAAATTGCTCCAGCGTCGATTGTTCGGTCGACGCTAAATCTCTTTTCCATCAATGTAGACAAGTAAAATTATGTATCAAATAAAAAATAAAAGTGAAAAATGAGAAATTATAAAGAAATAAATGGTTTGATTTTAATAAATACTTTCCCTGAAAGCGTAAAAAAACGAAGGATAATTTTTATCTTTGACGAAAAGGTTGACACTTTTCATTGAAAGCTTGATCTTGATTAGCTGGCGTGTAAAATTGGACGCAAGGCGAGTATTTCTCTTTGTCTCGGTCCAGCAGTTTTGTTTTTCGCCGATTTCGTTGTCCAAGGGACGCAAAAAGCTGCAGCACCTTGACCGGAATAATTTTCATCTTTCGGCGCGAGACGAACGACCGCTTTGTGATTTTTTCTGCATCTCGCAAAAACTTATTCATGCTGATGGAAACGGAAGCGTTAGAAGAAGCCCATTTCTGCGCGAACAATGATTTATTACTTTTTTTTCTAAATCGACTCGGGCAAAAAAGCCCACTGACGTCTAAATAAGAGCTTTCGGGAGGAATCATTGCTGCGCACTTTCTCCGACCAGAGATGTCGACGTTTCGACGCGTCACGCGAAGATGGACGCGCGAATTATTCATCATTAGAGGTTCCCACTCTGCGCGGTGATCGCCGAGCAATGGGCGGGTTTTCTTTCTTTCTTGATTTATTGCCAAGCGATCGATTTCATTCAAAGTCCGTCAAACCAACCGGCCGCTCTCTTTCTTATATAAATGCACTGCGGCGTTTTGGCTGAATTTCTGTTTCCACAATCCGGTTTATATATAATTAAAATAATTTTGTTTTTCAATGCTATTCTTATTAAATTTAATATTTTTTATTCACGAAATTTTATGAAAGAAAATTTCACATATTTATGCAAAAAACAGACATGAATTGGAAATGGTTTAATTTTATTTTATAAGTACTCCTGAAAATGATAACAATTTTTATGTAATATTAACTAACTATTGTTTTTTTTAACATCCCAGCCAGCAATGTATAACCACAACACAAAATTTCTACTTTTTACACAGTGAATTTTAAATATCTATTATTTATTATTCTTTTTCTGGGCTTATATCGTCATGACATTTTTTTGTTTCTACAAAATTTGACCCCTTTTTTTGGCAAAATGCTAAACTTTTAATTAATCTTTCTTTTATTAATGTCTTATAAAAATGAACAACAGTTATTGTGAAAAATGTAACTCAGTAAAGATCAATTTATATAATAATTTGAATCATTTTATTTATTTAGTTTCAAGAAATGTTTATTGAGTTCGAATTGAGGGCAACTATACATGAAATCACCCAATTTAATGACAAAATTAAAGAAAAAATTAAAACAACAGAATTTATTTTTATTTACATTTAAAAAAAATGCAATTACATCTCATGTATTTATTATTATCTTCCAGTTTTGTGCAATACATATATATTTATTTGATTATTTATGCACTTTCATACAATCAGCGATTTTTCCACATCCGCGGCGCCGAGGAATTTATTTTGCCCACGCGACTCACGCGGTCGAGAGATCGAAGAAACACCCAAAAGCGCGCGACGAGTGGAGAGTTGCAGGTAGCACTCGATCGCCAGCCCTTTTCACACCGGCAGCCATAAATCTCGCAACGAGCGCGGCTGCAGCGCAAAAAAGATGAGAGAGAGAGAAAAAGTCTCGGTAACAGCCGGAGATGCATCGCCAATAAAATAAATAAAGTAAGTGGCCGCCCACGCGCGACCGACGGAGCCGCCTCCAGCACGTACTCAGTTGACCAGGAAGAATTTCTCGCCTCTTCACCTCTGCTAACCTCAACACACGAGAACAAATGAATGATAAATCGATCATAATATTGTGTACTCGTTGGTAATTGCCAGCATTAGTTTCCGAGGAAGAGAATAGGAAATTGTATTTCTTAAACGCCTGCCAAACTCTTAGTTAGGCAACTCGCCCGACAGGAATTTCCTCCCCCGCCCGCCGACTTGAAGATTTGAACGCGGGTTTTGTCAAAGTCAAAGGTGGTTTTTATCTCGAGGTCTTCCATTCAAAAAGAAATTTTAAAATATCATATTACCAAATTGGTATGAATTTTTTTTTTTTTTTTACTATAAAAGCAACAGGTCTTGTTTTTCCAAATTAGTATATTTTTTTAAATTATGCTCAAAGTTAATTACATCAAAACAGGTCAAGATTGAAAATTTGAACATCAGACTTCCCTACACAATATATATTTTAATAAATTTTTGAAACTCATTTTGCATTTTCAATTATAAAAAAAACCTAGTTTCTCAAACTTGAATTACTTTTATAGAATCATGAAATAAAATTTTTCACAATAAAGTGTTCGTTTTGCATTATTGCGTGTTGTTCGGTTGGCCTTTTGGCACTGCCTCGGCGAGACGACGTGCAGGATGTGCCGGCGGAGACGAAAAGAGATGTCAGCTCGAGAAACAATGGCGACCTTTCTACTCGGCTCGACCGCGGCCGACGACTTCATAAAACAAGCGCAATTTGTTCTTGTCCAACCAAAACAGCGATAAATAAAGCACGCATCCCATAAAGCGCAATAATGGAAATTCATTGGACATTATTGTAAGACTGGAATTGCCCGTTTATTTTATTATTACGATGGTATGATTGCATATGTTTAGAAAGATTATAATGATATAATTCTCGGTAATTTTTGCTATCCATTGATTTTATGGTGATTTTCCGCAGAAACAGCACAATAACTGGAAATAAAAATTTATGCAAATATTTGTATTTTTAGTTGTAAATAAATTTACAGCTTTATAGGTGATTTCCAATAGTTCCTCTCTTTAAAAAAAAAATCTTTGGTATGCAACCCCATTTTTTATAATTTTTTTTTATAGAATTCCACAATCCAGCAGGGTTGATTTATGGAGATTTGAATTTTAAACCAACTTTTCCTCGATGGTTTTTGCGAGTAGTTTTGTTTATTGTTTCTTTCTCTACATTTCCTGTTGCGGGCTGTAGCCATAATTAATGAGCTGTGAAATTATGGAAATGAAGATATTGAGCTTTTCCATGATCATCTCCTCGAGTGTCAATTTTCTTTAAACAAACTGTGGAAACTGTTTTGACAAAAGTAAAAGTTCATAATTTAATTAAATAAAATTTTCCATCAAATAATCAAGATTGTAAAAAATTCTGTTCAGTTACAATTTTTCAAAAAATTTGAAAAAATAATTTCACTGCTCACGAATTATGGCTGCAGCCCGCAGCCGAAACATTTAGAGCAGGATATTGCTTTTTTCTCAAACAATAAACAACTTAACTCGCAAAACCCATCGAGGAAAAGCCGGCTTCAATTATTATTTGTTTTTTAATAAAGTATATTTATTTAAGAAGAATGTAACAGGCCAACTCCAATCGGAGTTATTGGCCGGTGCTTTTGCGACTAAAGCGCAAGGCTGGGAACTTCAGCTCTATTCACATATTTTTGCATGCGAATTCAAATCACTATTTTGCCCAGTTGTCTCACAAGTTGTGCACTAACTCGTATGCTATCAATTCTGGGCCACCCTCTTTTATCCTCTTTGCACAATGAAAGGTAAAGTACCAGTACCACGTGCGCAGATGATTTGTTCAGTTTGAAATATCCCGCCCCCAGATCTCTCCCTTCCCTTCCGCTTCCGCCCCTCACCTGATTACTATTCTCATGTTCATGTCATGTTGACAAAAACAACGTGCTTTTGCAAATTGTGAGTGCGTCGGTGCGTTTGGGTTGCGAATCGCCAGTTTTTGGCCAGAAAACTCGTATATTCCGGGGTGCGTCGTGCTCTTGAGTGCTTCAGGGTTCGGTGGAAGGCAAAGTGCGGTAAGAAACGGGTCGAATTCGTGAAATTCCGTGACATTTATGTATGGCGAAAATTCTAAGTTGACTTTTTCACAGGACGAGACTCGTCAACACAAAACTTATGGAGATTCCTTTGGATTCCAGACCCGTCCCTGAAGCAAATTAAGGTAAGAATATCAGAAAAATTTTGGTGTAATGCAGAGAAGGACGCCGGAAATTGAATTGATCACTGTTTCGTTTCGTTCGTCAAAGATTGTCCGGACAAAGGATGCCAAGAACAAATTATCTTATTAATTAACAGAAATTTGCACCGAATGCACGAAGATTTTCAAATTTAATCCTTAATTGCATCTCTCTGATCTCTCATAATTTATTCTTTTAAGGAAAAATAGCCAAGCAGTGCTTTTTGTGCTAATTTGTTCCTCCATCGTTGCAGCAAAAATGAAAACCAGAAAATGGTGCTTGAATAATTTCTTAACAATTTATTTATACAGCCAAAGTAATTTAAATTTTTTTATCCTGATAATATAAAAATTGATGGTATTATTTATTCTTCGTCAAAAAGATAAAAGCGTTTAATTTTTTAAACGGAGACTTTCTTGATTTTTGTACGCAAAATTTAGGCAAGGCGAAGCCATTACTGCCTAGAAAGCATCTTTCGCGAGTATTAAAAAAGAAATTACTCTCCATCTAAGCTAGTCTCATCAATTTCGCAACAAGTCTCTCGCGCAATTAAAACGCGCGGCGGCGGCGCCCGCAGCGCAATTCGGCGCCCACTCGGTGGGCGTGTCCGCGAAAGGGTCAAGCGGGGTGACCTCGAGGATGCCAACCAAGTTCTTCTCGCGCGCCAATGTGCAAATAATAAACATTTTCAGGTCGCGCCACGCGCGGTGATAAAGAATCCATGCAGCGAATAGGGGGCCGTTAATTTTGAAAGTGAGAGCTATTTATTTTATTTTCGGCCGCTTTGTGTCGGCGACAAAGAGAAAAATGCGATCGCCGCACTTGCGCAACCGCGCAACCTTTCCTCTGCAATTAGACAACAATTGTTGCAGAAAAATCACGCGCGCGTCGACCGGTGGCATCAATCGAAACAAAACAGCACTCGCGTGCATTCTCCGACGGCCTCATTCGATCGAAATTGGGCCTCTCCGTCATTCATCTCACTTACATAATTCCTAAAACCAAAAGTGATTCGCTTCTGCATCACAAATGGATGGGAAAAAATTAGCTTCTTTTTTAATCAAATAAAAATTACCATTTCCAGAAATATTTAACAAGAAATTTAATTCCAACAAATATACCAATCAGGAAACTTATCAAAAAACTCCCGTTTCTCAACAAAAACAGCAAGAAAAATTTATGAAAACAAAAATTTAGAACAATTAGGTTTTTTAATTTGCATTTAAAATAATTCGATAAAACTATTGACGATAAAAATTTTAAAGTGCTCGGATTAAAACAAGTACGAGCAAAGGTAATTTCAGGTTTTTTGTGGACCACCCTGACAAAGGTTGGTCACACAACACATGCTGTTGCATTGTAAACAAATTCCTCTTGAGTGGCAACGTCTAAACATTTTCACGCGCGGAACGAGCATAAATCATGTTCGGCTGGAACAAACATTACCGGACCCTTTCTCAGGTACAATAGGATTAACCTCTCAGGTCGCTTTTAAACTTTCTCATAAAGATATCGTGTTTGGTGTCGATTTATGGGTTTACGGGGTCACCTGAGCTCAACTGTGACGTCATCGGAGTCGTCGGCGCGTCCCTAAGGCCGAATTCGGCAAATCGGCCGAAACGAAAGGAGCGGTCGTAGATTTTGGCAGTGACCTTTCGCGCTCGTTGCGTCACGCCTCTAACAATCGACTTCATATTCTTTTGCGCCCATTGTTATAATTGTTGTTACGTAAAAAAAAAATAAGACCGAGAAGCTGCTGAGAGTGTTTGTTATTGCTCGTTCTCTTTTTCTGGCGCGTCCTGATATAAATTTCTCGTTGTGTCGGCCGGCTGGCGCGGGCGTGGTCGCGAAATGCTGCTGCGCTCGGCCTCAAATTTCCATTTTTCTCCCCCACACGAGAGAGGAGACCCGAGTGCGCGAGAAAACGATTCCGCAAATTGATTGAGACGTCTCTCGTGAAACGCGACACGTATGCTAGCTGAAAAGTTCATATAAACGTACCGTGCCGTTCAAAGGGAGACGTAATTGCGTCGGATGCGCAGCAACAGAGAAATGACGCCAAAGTCGATGGAGCAGGTTTTCGGACGCGTGATTATTCAAATAAATTTCTGCAACTCGCATTCTTCGTGAAGCTGAAGATATTATACGAAAAAAAGTCGTTTTGTTACTTCATTATCTTAATTTTTTGCATTATTTAGTTTTATACTAACCCCAAAATTATGTATTTTAAGCAAAATTAATTTTTTAGTTCATCTTCTGTGAATTAAACAAGTTTTCTTTTCTCTTTATTGAGATTAATTTTTAAAAGGGGTGGTCACTTCTGTCCAGCCATTGTAACCAGGATTAATCTCCAGGGATTGATGAAAATTTCAGCAAGTCAACTTTTTGTCACCGCAATCGTTTTAGATAAAAAAACCGCGTTATTTGCAATTGAATTTTTAATGAGAAATATATTTTTTCAAATTTTAAGAAATATATTCTTTACTTTTGACAAGCCCAGAATTAATAAAGATTTTTTTTTCCAATCCAATCAATATTTGAAATTATTTCTTTTGTTGTTGTTAGATTTCTTATAATTGTGAAATCTTTTTAATTTAATCATTTATAGAATTTTTTAGCATTAATATTTTTTTTTTTATTACTTTTCATCTTTAAAAAAACGTATTATAGCTAACTTTAAATGATATTTGTCACTTGATTCCATAATTATTCGACCTCGGAAACATCGAAGCAGTGCTCCGTTCCACCCTCGTTTAATAGCAATGAACAATGGGCTCTCATTTATTCTTTTGTGTTGCGCGACTTCTCTCTTCATCTGGTGATTTCTGCAGACAAAAGTGATCAGCAACTACTATACTGCGATCGTATCTGATGGAAAATTCGTGTGCACGCTGACCCAGAGAGTGAAAATGAAAACACGATAATTTTTTGCGCAACTCGGATGCTGGGCGTCGGCCGCTCTCGACAAGAATATTGAATTAATAAAATGGAAAAACAACATAAGACTAAAAACAATAGCTGACTTCTTTGGAACTTGGAAAAGCTTCTCCAGCGATAAACCTAAAGAGTCTTTTAATGAGCGTTGCATGGTGAAGCTAACAACAATATATCTCTCCTGCAGCCGGTAAAGCTTTTCTGGCGAAAAATCAGGGTCTTTTAAAAAGCTCCACAAAAAAAATAGAGGTGATGAATCTCCAGGAAAAACTTCACAAGTAAATAAGTTTATCCGATTTTAAATTTAAATCACCTTTAATCAACCCCCGATTGTGTCATTATTTTCCGAAAAGATACAAATTTTTCGATTTTTTGATAATTTTTTCTTTTAATACCTGGTAAAATAGGCAGTTTTTAGAATTTTCATTATTTTTTCAGAAATCTTTTTATTTATTTTTCTACACCCTTCGGGAAACCAATGCGGATATGAGAGAGAAAGGCTCGGTACGGATTCTTGTGTTTGATGGTGTGTGACGCGCTGCTTTTCATTTTTTTTTCTTTTGCTGAATGCATTCCATCGTTTAATATGAATTTTGTCAATTATCCGCTCCACGGGTGCAAAATGAATATTCGAAAATCGGATGGAAGCAAAAGTTGTGCATTATTCGCATGCAAGGCAGGCGTGTGTTGGGCCGTGGCCCTTGGGCGAGCAGCCTCGCTGCCCGCCCGAGATGCTCCAGATCCACTTTCACTGCGCGCAGAGAGCTTTCCTCATCATCTGCTGCCGGCGTGCGTAATAATTAATCGCCACGCCTTTCGGCCAAAATCAATCCTTTCGAAAGCACCTCGTCTTTCCTCTCGCGCTCTTCTAATAATAGTGCCATACAATGCACGCAAGTACATCACGTAATCGCGCTCGCAAGCAGAGCGAAAAATGCACACCGCCAGGTGTGCTCTATGAGAGGCCTTCACTTAACGATATACAAAGTGCTCGATTTGTGCGCAAAACACTCAGCTGCAGCCTCCGTACGTCGCTCTTGCAACGCCTTTTCTCACTTTTACTCTCTCAAGTGAATATAATGACGAGATGCGAGGGCGGACAATCGCTCAATTTAAATAAAAAATTCCGATTTTACTGTTTAGAAACACGAATATGAAGTTTAGTGGTTTATTTTTTTATTCAACCTATTCACGTTCACGTGAATTCGGCAATTATTGAATCGAAAGACCTTAAATATATCTCCGTTAATAATTAGTAACGCTCAATTTTCTTTTAGTTTGAATGAAACCAAAACCTGGATTTTTGTATTGTTCTGTTTATTATCTGATTCTGAAATTAAAACGGAATGAAAACAAAAGAATGTTAATCGAAATCTTTAGCGCAATACGATCAAATTGAGTTATCAGCATTTATTTTTTTTGAAAAAAAGCAAATATGAAATAATTATTACTTTTCATTTCTTTCATTTAATCTTGAATGGTGCGCAAACCATTTGTATGAATATTAATGTATGTGCACGACTTCATTTGTCTTATTTTTTGAAAGCTACTCTTGGCAGCCGTTCTCGGGGGCGATTCGGTGGCTAATGAGAGGATGGGGCCGGGGGCCCTGGGGCGTTGGCGTTGCCCAACGAGTACCAGCTCGCGTACTACGTGACGCAACCACGGCCGTAATTGTGAGCTGCCGCCGAGAAAAGAGAGTCAGCGGCGGCGGCTCACAATCAGAGCAGCCCTGGGGCCACGCGCAGCACGTGCGAATCGTCTCTCAAAGTGGAGCACCGGCCCAACCAACAATGCACCACGCCCCTCCTTTCTTCCAGCACTCTCGGTTTCCAGCATCGTTTTCTTGCTCGTTAAATAACAACTCGCGGCTACGTATTGTTTTTATTCTTAAATTTTGGATGACAAACTTGCAAATGTTGATTTTGCGAATTACAGCGGGGGCGCCTCGGTCAGTGGCGCGCCTGGCGATTCGCAGATGAAGTTGTAAGGGACGGCACAGTCGACGAAGGTGAACGCCAGTTGGTAGTAGGCGCCGCACGGGAGACTACCCTGAGGAACGGTGTTTATCTCCACGTTTGACGGAACCAGCTCGGCGCCACCGGTCCACACATAGGTGCCTGGGACGTCCTCCTTTAGAGATGTGAAGAAGTACATATTCTGAAAACCTGCAGGAATCGTCAAAAGGAAAGTTCAGTCAAAATTCAAGGCTCTGACCAGACTGCTTGATTGCCTCTTTGATGCCCATGTTCTCTAGAAGATTGTCAATGACCAGCAAACTTTGTCCTCGAGTACTACAAACTGCGTTTGCATCAGCATAGGTTGCCTGCACTTGAAAAGTCACAAGATCATCTTCAAAGAAAACAATGAAGAAAGTACCTTTTCCTCCGAGAAGAAGTACGAATTTCCATTGATTTTTGCGTTCACCAGCCCAACCTTAAAAGTTACTGCAGTTCTGTTGTATTTAAAGCATGAAATTACAAAATAATATAGAGATTTTGGTTGAATATATACGTGGGAGGTTCTGTTGGTTTAGATTCGCAAACGAAATTGGACAAATCGTTGCAGGACACTGGCGCCAGGCCGATGGATGATAGCCCGGCGCAATCTTTCCCCGAAGCCACGTCTTCAGGCGAAGAAGCAACCTTCACCGTCTGAGCCGTCAAGGACCCAAACCAGTCGAAAGTGTCAACACCGGAGCGCTTCAGAGACGTCAAAACAGAGGTTGAAGAGAGTCCTAATAGCCAAAGATCAGAGCAGGTGACCTTTAGGTACTTACGGTGCTCACCTATTGAGCCCAGAAAGTCCTGTACGACGTCCGTTTCAGCGAGCGTCTCCAAGGACATCAAACCCATGTCGCGCGTTCCACATATTTCCTGTGCGTTGTCATAGTTTGCCTAAATTTCTAAGTCTGGTCCAGGGTTCGATTTATCAGAAGGAAAATAGTACCTTTTCAGAAGGAACTATGTAGGAACTATCACCTAAAACCACAGGGGTGGCTGGAAAACTCTTCTTGAGTGTCATTATATATTTTATCAATTAGTCTTTACAGTCAGCCATGGCCAAGAGTTTGCTCAATGGGTTCCTATAGGGATGTATTATTTAGGGCGCAGGTTCTACGTAGACGAAATATCTCACTCAGTAGTTGTAGCCACCGTAGAAGGTCCGTTGGGTGCCTCGCACACGAAATTGGCTACGGTGTCGCAGGATATTCCCTGAAGGCCAAGCTTCCCCAATGAGGCACATCCGCCATCAGGGTTCGGCTGCTCTGGGGCCCAGTTCAGCAAGTTGGCGGCAACGCCACCAAGCCAGTTGAACTCGTCTCCCCCAGAAAGCTTCTTTAAGGACGTCAACATCGTTGAGGTCGAGAGTCCTTTAAGGTTGAAAAGTCATGAGTTTTTCGTAATCAGATGTTATCAGTTTTACCAATGTCCCCAAGGAAGTCCTGCACTGCAGAGGTCTCAGCCAACGACTCAAGGGACATCAGCTCCATACCCTGCTTGGAGCACAGAGAATTTGCCTCGTCAACTGTTGCCTGGCGAGCAATTAAAACAAAAAAATTTTATTTTCTAAAATCATAAACTTTTCTTTCACTATGTTTGAAGGAACTATGTAGTTTTTGCCATTGACATAATCCATCGGAGCTTGAAAACGTTATATATGAGGACGCTAAACTAATAAATTTAATATTATCTTACCCTCATCGATAGACAGCAGACTGGCTAACCCCCTAAAAAATTAGATTCAGCCCTAATTTTTGGATTTCTTTAATTCAAATACTCGAGCGTTGAAGTTGAGCCCGGTGGCTCCTCGCAGATGAAATTAGCAGGTTGGTCGCAGCTGGTGTTGTAAAATTTGCCCTTATAGGTTGCAGAGCAATCACCTGGGATTATTGACTTCGGGGGTTCAGTGCCCCAGCCGTCGAAGATACTCCCAGGTATAGCGAGTTGATCAAGAGCCGAAAAGACAACTTCGCTGGAAAGTCCGATGTAGTTGAGGTAGTCGGTGACACTTTTCTGCTCAGTTTTTGATTCAAGGCCGGAGATAACCAAACCCTGGTCTTCACATTTTTTCTTTGCTTCTTCATAAGTTTCCTATCAAGAGTTTACGGGATGTACCATAATATTTAAATGTAAAAATTATGCTCACCTTTTCAGGGGGAAATGTGTACTTCTTTCCCTTTATGCGCACCGGTTTGTATGAGGGACCTTATTTTTGTAATTTAAAGAATTTTTTTCTCAATATTAATTGTTGACAGATTTTAAAAATCTAATTACACACCTCGTGGATTGTTTTTGCCTGAAAATGATGAAGTTCGTTAGCTCAATTAAGAAGTGATGTGGCAGGATGCAAAAAACGTGAATTCATGTTTTCAAATTTATGAACTCACTTTTTTTCCTGGTTAGCGATGGGTGTGATTTACGAGGTTTTAATACTCTTCTGATTGAAAGGCAATTCATTAGTTTACCTATTTATTTTGTGACATGAATTTCTCCCGCAACATCTGATGATATATTCTCTTCTAGTTTGGTTTTTGAAAAGTATTTTATGTTCTATAAAAAGTAAAATGTAACGTAAAATTTAAATTAGAATTTGAATATTTTTATGTTGAACAAATAGAAAAAATATATTATAAATAAAATGAGTTTAAAAAAAAATTAAATTAAATTCACTTTTTGGCGGAACTTTCGTGAGAAGTTTGGACAGCGAGTTGATATTTTTCGAGATCTTAACCTGGAGCTCTTAAAATTAATTAGATTTGCATAAATTTAAAGCTTGAAATCGTTATTAAAATGACATATATTAAATATTATCATCGATATTTCAAATACTCTGATTTTTGTCCGCGGAATCTGCAAAACCTGGAGGGTTGACCTGTTTGATATTGGTTGCAAAATTGTAATTGGTATTAAAATCAGTTCAAAAATACCAGCAGGGTAGCGAGGGCGAGCAGAAGGGTCGCCGTCGTCACCATAACTCATTTTCGTCCGCTTTCATCGACAAAACGAGCATCACTGCGGAAAGCCGCGAACGAGGCTGAAAAATGGCCGCGCTCTTTAATTGCCACTTTTCCGGGAGCAACAATTTCAAACGTCCGGCATTTCGCCACGGACTTGTTTTGATGTGATCAATCTCTTTTAAATTGCCAAAATCATTTTTTTTTTTCATTTTGTCTAAATTTGAATGTAATCAGTTTTTGATTGGTTTTGAAGATGGAATTCATTATTTTAATGATGGGATTATGAAAAAAGTTTCTCCATTATACGCAGCCAGTAAGAGAATTGCGATCTGCATTCGGCAAGTTTTTGCGAGGCGTGGTACTGCGCAGATTATATTATTCGCGAAGAGAGAGGCCAATTACTCGGACGCTGAGCACGGCAGCCTCTCTTTCTTGCATAAGCGACCATAAAAATCAGTTTCACTCTCCTTCGCACGTCCGCGACACATTTCCGACGGCGATCGATTTTTCGGCTCAATTGGCACCCCTTACTTCACTCGCCGCACTTCGATTACGCGGTGTTGCAAAACGACGGCGGTCACACTCAAAACAATGTTGAGGAATGATGACGCACCCCGCGTCCGCGATTGACCTTAATTAACAGATTAATTCTGTTTTTCTCCGACCGCAGAAATCTGCGACCTCAAAAACCAATATTTTTCACACCCAGCACTTTGAATACAATAAATTTCTATTCATAATTAATATTAAAATTATTAAAAAATAGCTTAATTTGGCTTCATAAACTGTTAAGAACTTGATACTATTTCTCATGAGCTATAGAATGAAAATTAATATTATAATTATCAAAAGATGTAAGTAAGCGTCAGTAAGTCAATAGATATTTGTAATGAACGAGTCTTGTTTTGGAAATAGTCTGAGAAACAATCAATGCGTCAAGATTTGTGAGCGTTTTTCTTTATTTGTTTTTTATTGTTGTAAAACACCTAAACACTCATGTTTAGATAAATTATTTTGTCCTCTAGGCTTAAGTTTAAAATTCTAAAATGGCTGGACGCTTTAAAGTCATGTTTTACTTTGCTGGAAGAAGTTCCGCTGACAGGCAAAATAAGACAGTTTTTTTGTCTAATTGTAAGAAAACATTGTGATAATTACACATATTAAACAAAATTTTAATTAATTCAACCATTAAGATGACAAACTAAACTAAAAAAAAACAACAATAATTTGCAATATTGAGACTGCAAATCAAAATCTAACAAGCTAATTAAATAAGGTATTTCAAAACATTCCTCAGCGTGACAAATGTTTTTCATTTTGTTTGCTTTTCGTTGACAATATTGTGGCGGATTGCAGAGGTCAAGTGCCGGCGGGCTGGAGGTTAGTGCTCCTGCTCTTTTATTTCTTTCTTCGCTCTCGCATCTTCAAACCGGCTGGCCGCAGTTCTTTCTTATGGATGCGCGCAGAGTGCGGGTGTAGCCGTTTTTTGCCGCTCCTCCCTGCCCTGCATGCTCTCGGCGGCCGACCGCGGCCGGCCGGCCAGCCGGGGTCACCTCTCGCAAGAATATAAAGAAAAACGAGACCACCGGCTTGGAAAAGAAGAGAGCGACCCGCGAGGAATGCGAGTCGCTCGCGCGCCACTTTTAATTGCCGAGTTAATTTGCAGCCAGCGGTGTCCAGTGCAGAGCGATAAATAAATACAAATAAAAAGATCGAGCTTTTCTCTCTCTCTGCTCCTCCTTCGTGACTTATTTCAATTCTTTCCCTCCGCAAACACACACACCTCGCTCGACCGACGACCGCTTTTTTATTTTTATGGAGATACGCCGCGGAAAAAAGTTGCTCGAGGATTCCGCTAGTTCTAGAGCAGGAAAAGTCGAGCGCGGGGAAACGTCTCAATTCATGAGAGATGGATGTAGATTTATATATATGCTAATTATTAACGTTGTTGGGAGAGCTCCTGAGAAAATGATTTTTTTCTTTTAAACAACGATGTTATATGTGTAAGTCGAGAAGACTTGAGAAAAATTATAAAATATTATTGAATGAAAGTTTTTTTGAGATTTTGAAAAACTAAATCACAGTTTTTAGTTAATTTTTCATTACTGTGTCTGAAGAAACAAATAATGCTGATAAATATTCTAAAACTTGCTAATCATCGATGTGAGAATTGTGGTTCAACCTTTTCTATTATTATAATTTATAAAAAATCTTATGCAATTTTTTTTGTATACATGTTTAAATACAATAATTAAGGTTCAATTACACTTATAATTGTACTTACTTTTAAAACTTTTCATAAGATTATTAAAAACTATAGCCCAGTCAATCCGACAAGACAAACTATAAGATTTTTATAGTTTTCGGTTTTACATTATTAAATAATATTATTATTATTTTTTTTTTTTAATTATTTTTGTTATTTTCAAAGCAAACTTGATTTGAAGTTCAAATATTCTTTGCGACCTACTGCATTTATACCATAGTTACTTAAATTAGTATATAATTATGCTTGTGTTTTAATTTTTTTCACTTAATTTTTGTGAAAATGTTATTTTTGCTATGCAACTTATTTTTAAGTTTCATGGAGTTGAATCTAAAATTCTACAGTAAAAATCTAAATTTCTAGCAGAAACGCTTGCAGGAAGTAAATTTAAAATGGGCCCTTTTGAAAGCTATTAAGCAAAATTTTCTCAAAGTCAAATGAGTCCTATTAAACTATATCAGCTTTTTAATGAAAATATACATTAATTTATTTGAAATGTGATTATTTCAAACAGAATTTTTCCTTCAGCTGGGCAAAAATGTGTTTTACTAGACGGCGCAGAACAAGCATAATGTAATTCCTATATATGCAAAGCGCGAACAGGGAGTGTCCGCGCGCTTACCGCATTTTTGCAGAGATGCAGCTCGGCGCTGCACGCGGTTATTTTATTTCCATGACGAACGAACGAGGTACACCACTTACTTGTGCTTACATTCATTTTCTTTCTTTTCTTCTCGCCGGGTTATTTGCCGGACTGGGGACACGTGCATATAAACAACTGCGCTCGCGAATCGCCGCGGCGCAGCCTCCACTCAGCGATCTCGGCAGGTCGCCCCTTATTTATTTATATTCCTGCAGCTGTCCGGCGCGCAACAGCCGCGAGATAATTCAATAATCTGCTCGAGCTGTCCGAGCTCTCTCGCGCTCCTCTCGCAAATGATCTCACTTAATTGGCCCCCAACCGAAGGATCCGCCGCAGCTTTTTATCCTCCCGCGCGCGCATGCCGCTGTCTCAATAAAACACACCGAGTCACATTTTTTTTTCAGTCGACCCGCCAATAACTTGAAATGATTCAAGTGCTACTGGAAATAAAATCTTTTAGTACCGATTAAAATATTACAAACTCTACATACAGGAGGAGCAGCAAATTTATATAAAAAAAATATATAAATTTCTATAAATATTTATATTAAACGAACTTCACAGGCTGTAGAATTTAATTGAAGGTTATTCTCAACTTGTAAATAAATGAAACTCATTTTTTGGGGACCAAACTTGACTTAAAAATTGTTTTGCCATCGCGAAAACTTGCTGGTTAATAACTTCAATAACAATTAGAATTAATCAAGAAAAGACGGATGTACCTTGTCTAGGATACATTGTAGAAATATTGACGATTTCAGCAGTGAAATTAATTTTCAAACACAGGTCAAATCTTAATTTGCAAAAAGAGCGCGAGCGAGCGCTAAAGTTTGGAAAAATGGAGAGCGCCAGCGCAATTTTCTGCAAAGAGTCGAGCGTTCCAAAATCAAGCGCGCTCGTCAACCTTTTTCTTAAATAAATAAAAATTAATTTCTATAAAATTTAAAAGTAATTTGCAGAAAACGTGGAAATATTTATGAAATTTTTTAATTTTTATATCACGCAATTAAGTTTTATTGCAATAAGGAATTTATTTATAAGATTTAAAAATTATTTTTTGTTCAAATTAAAGAGGTTTTTTCTGTCTTAAAATTAGTTTTTATTCCTATTTTTAACAATAATATTTGCAATATCGCAAGCTACTAACTAAGTATTTTGATATTTTCTTTATGCTGTTGAAAATATCAAGGGATAATGAATCTTCCTATTCATCAAAATCGTGGTTTCTTTCAAGGCGGCATTGGAAAATAAAATAGATGCTTATTTAAAATCGTCCAGCCACTAGAATCAGTGAAAAATTGAAGGTTGATAGCAATTATCGGCTATTATGTCGTCCATTATTGCAACAATGTGCTATTGTTGCACGTCTATAATTATCATAATATTATGTTGTGCAATTACACTAATTACCAAGGGTGCTCTCC